GCGACCTCGAACCACCCGCGCGCGGCCCCGGCGCGCGCGGACGTCGTCCCGTCGCCCGCTTCGACGTCCTGCGACTTGGAGAGCTCGACGAGCATCTTCGCCGTCGGGTGGCCCACCTCCATCGTCGACAGTATCGTCGCGCCTGGGCAGGACAAGGGTGATTCAACGTCGCTTCAACGTGAGTGTTCCGCGCGCGCGCGTTCCGGAACAAGCATCCATGCTTCGAGACCGTTCCGAGAGATGATCGCTCGTCCAAAAATCAGCCGAAACGAGTGGAAAACGGCCGAGATATGAGCCTTTGAAGTTGGGAATTTCGCTCTCTTGTCCTGCCCTGCGTCGCGCCGTCGTTCGTGATGAGCACCTCGCCGTCGCCCTTCTGGATCATCTTGTCCATGCCCCGGGGGCCCAGGGACGTGCGGATGGCGTCGGCGATGGCCTTCGCGGCCATGATGTTGCTGAGGCGCACGTCCTTCTCCTTCTTCAGCCCGCGCTGCGACTCGCCGTCCATCGCGCGGCCGCTCATCTTCGCGGGGGCGGTAGGGGGCGTCGCGGGCGTGCCTCGGGAGCACCGACCTGCGCGCGGCGGTGTGTGCGCGCGCGCGCGCGGTTGTGTGCGGGTGGTGGCGTGGTGTGGTGGAGATCTGGGTTTGCGCGTTGCGGACGGCGCCCGGCCGACGCTGGCGAGTTCACCCGTTCGGAGAACCTCGGGAGAGTTCACCCGTTCGGAGAGACTCTGGAGAGTTCACCCGTGAGGAAAGAATCTGGAGCGGACACTGGGCGTCGCTGTGGCAGGCTGCGGCAGGGCGCGGCGATTGTTGGCAAACTCCTATGTCCGCGTCAATATCTACCTTTAGCTTAACTTGAAGCTGAAAACCAAGGTTATCCCGGTTCATCTCAGAGTCCGACTGAGTCATCGAGATGGATCTCCGTCTCGAGGGTCTTCGGCGACTCCAAGATCCATCGGCTACTCCAAGATCCATGCCCTTGCCATCGAAGCCCTCTCCATCCTCATCACTGGCATGCCCCTATACAAGGGCCACCCGTGTCCCTCGGCTAGCCCAACGGCCACCCCGCGGCGCCATTCCGGTGACGCCCCTGGGTGGCTCCTGGGGCTCGAGGGACATTCCGCTGACAACCCGTCCTCTCCGCCTACAACATGAGGCCTACTAGTAGGAAGGCCGCCTCTTCTAACTTCGCAAACAACCTCGCAGCCTCTACGGAACGCGCGTGCGTCCCGACGCAGGCTACGGTCTTCTGGCCGGCGCCTGCGCCGCCGCCGGGCGCCTGGCTATTCATCGCGCCGGGCGAGCCTCGGGCGGGCGCGGGCGGCGCCAACTTCGACAAGAAAAAAAAAATTGGCCGGCCACGAGGCAGCGAGAGCGCTGGACCAGCGCGCTCTTTGGGGTCCCTCACCCCGGACGCGACGCGCCTAGGCGCTCCTCCCAGCGAGAGTCCGGTTCCGCGTGGGTCTCGGCTAGGCCCGGGCTAGCGGTAAGCAACTCCAGGCCAGGCCGGACCAGCGCGCTCTTTGGGGTCCCTCACCCCGGACGCGACGCGCCTAGGCGCTCCTCCCAGCGAGAGTCCGGTTCCGCGTGGGTCTCGGCTAGGCCCGGGCTAGCGGTAAGCAACTCCAGGCCAGGCCCCGGTTGCAGCGTGAGCATGGCGCCCAGCGTGAGCATGGCGCCCATGCTTTTGGCCGCGGCGGCCGCGTGCGCCCACGCGCTGGTGCCCGGGTCGCCGTCCTGCGGTCGCGCCGTCCTCCGGCGCCGCGGCGGCGGCGTGCGCTTCCAGGGGCCGGGCGTCGGGTCGAGCTTCCCCGCCCACGACGGCGGCGGCGACGCCCCGGGCGCCCGGGGCGCGCTCAAGGGCGTCATCCTCGGCGGCGGGTCCTTCGGCCTCGCCATGGCCTGCGTGCTCGGCCGCGCCGGCGTGCCCGCGACGCTCCTCGTGCGGAGCCGCGCGGACGCGGACGCGGTGAACGCGCGCGGCCGCCACCCGAAATACCTCCCCGACGTCGACCTGCCCGAGGGCACGCGCGCGACGGCCGACGCCGCCGAGGCGCTGCGGGGCGCGT